CTCTTGTAAGACCGCCTGGCACCTAGTGAACAGCTGCCTCAACTGCCCCTCCTCCCCCCAACTGCTTGCTGATGGCTCGGATGTGGCCGCCAAGCTGGGCCCTGGGGCATAGTCATAGAGGAGGCGTCCATTTGTCTTTCTTTTTCTTTGCAGGAGGGGGTGGTGGTGCAAATTGAATTTCAGTTTTATCCTTTGTGGTTTTCTGCACAATCCATCATAACATTTGTACAGCAGGTGACCTGGCTTTTGTGGGAAAAGCCTGTGCTCCAGCCCCATGGACGGCTGAGGCCAGCCCTCAGGTGTGTTTCTCCTGTCCCGTGCCTGGGCCCTCGGTCATCTTTCATCTGGGCATGACTTCAGACTGCCAGAAAACATTACAAGGTCGATGCAAAGATCTAGCGCACACTCAGAATCACCAACTCTTGGTTCACTCTCACCCCGACCCCTACACACACACACACACACACACACACACACACACACACGAGTAAGTTATAGACATGCCCTTTTATTCCGAAGTATTCGGCGTGTGTTTCCTAACAGCAAGGACGTTCTCTTATATAAACACCACGTAATGATCCAACTCGGGAAATTCAGCTCGGCTTCAATTGTATTATCTCCTCCATAGGCCACACACAATTTCATCGGTTGTCCCAATAATGTCCTGTGGGACTATTTCCCCCTGATTCTACATCACCCCTGCCTTTAGTGGCCATGTCTCCTTAGCCTCCCTTTATCTTGGAACGTTTCCTTGGCTGTTCTTGACCTTGATGTGTTTGAAGAGTCCAGGCCAGTTTTGCTTTGTAGAATGTCCTTCAGTTTGGGTTGGGGCCCTCATTCCTGAAGGTTCACACCGTACTGCTTGCTTTCCTTCATGCTCTGTAATCCTTGGTGGTCCTGCATGGCTTGTAATTGAGCAAACTAAGGTATAGGGAGGTCAAGTGAATGGAATGGTCCATGGTTCTGTTCCTAGGTGCTTGCAGAGCTGGGATTCAAACCCAAGACTGATCTGCCTGCCCAGCAACACAAACAGTGACAGCATGTAGACCCTGAGAATAACCCAGTGTGAATCAAGCACTTACTCTGAGCTGGACATCGTACTTAGCGCTCTGTACACCCTGCATGCATCCTTGTCCCAGTCCAGAAAGGTAACTGCTCTTAGGAGCCCTGATTTACACATGATGATCAGAGAGGGTAAGTAGACTGCCCAGGGTGCACAGCAGTTAGCTGGTAGGGACTAGCTCTGACCCCAGCAGCTTGTGTCCTGAGCCCACTGTTGCCTCTGCCATCAGCCTTGCTGGATCTCATAGCATCGGGGGCGGTACTGACCATACTTCTGTGATGTCACTTGGAATCACTGCTGGGGCCCAGTGCTGAGCCAGACTGGAGGCTTTCACCCGCTTTGCTGACCTTGCAGGAGAGGCACAGATGTACCTGTGTTTATGTCCTTCCCCCAGGCCTTCTCCAGAGGGAGCAAACACATCCCAGGGCTGGGGCCTGCTCTCGGGGCCTTCCTGGGGAAAGCTGTCCTGTCCTCTGCTCCTACAGGTACCATAGTCCACCTCCACAGTCTATTTGCAGCAAATGGATGGCGTTTTGATGATTTCCAGGTCAGGAATCCCCGTGTAGTCACTCATTTCATGGCCAGCTCTCTCTCCTGCCAAGTCGCCCAGGGCCGTGCCCCCCCTCACCCCCCGCCGCCCGCCGAAGGTGGCTGGTCCTGGCTGCTGTCGGTGTGCCCAGTTGGCCCCACTGCCCAGGCCGCATCCAGGTGGCATTCAAGGCCAACTACCCCGATGATGCAGTGGCTGCTCCCAGCGGAGCTGCTGATTAATTATTCAGTGCTGTATGTCACACTCCATGCCCCTCACCTTCCCTTTGGAGACAGGAAGGTGACAGCCCTGCCTTTGGGTTGTGTAGAGGACACTTGAGGACAGGACACACTTGGAATTCCACTAGCAGAGCAATGGGGTTCCCTGAGCACACCAGCAGAGGACCCGTCTCTGGGCCCTAGTCTGCCTCTCACCTCCGGGGGACCTTGGGGTCCTGGTCTGCCTGTCCCAGGCCCTCCGGTCCGTTATTCATCTGAACACAGCATTGGGCCCCAGCGGTGATCCCAAGCCACATCAGGGAAGCACTGTCAGCATCCTGAGAAAGCCTGCGGCCCCCTGGTTCAGATGCAGGATATCTCCGTCCACTGCAGAGCAGGTGAATGTCCCGTCCTTGGGACCAAGTGTCAGGCAGGAGGTTCTGGGAGTAGCAGCTACCTCCCCCTTCAGGCCCAGGCTCCAGGCACCTGCTACGTATTGGGCCTCCCTCTGCATCCCAGCTCCCTCCTCTGCTGGGGTTGATGGCTTCCTGAGAAGTGGCCAAGAGAGTCCTGTCACCCTGTGCTAGGCCAGTCTCCTTTATCCCTGGCTCGTCTCTGTGGGTGGGAAGTGACCGGACTGCCTGCCTGGCTTGGTGCACTGAGGCAGGGCTGTGACCTTCCCACTCTGACCTCCCTGGCCGGCCCAGGATTCCTCCCCCCATTGCTCTGGCAGTGAGCACCTGGCTGGACTGGCTCCTGGGAGAAACTTGGAAGTTTTAGCTCCTCATTTTCCATGGAACATTGCTCCATGTGTGTGTGGTTTAAAACATTAATTAAAAACATTAATCAATTTGGCTGCCTTGGGAAGAGGTTCTTTTTCTGCAGGAGCTGATGTTGTGTGTTATTGCTGCCCCCCTTTCAAGGAAGAGGGAGTGAGCTTGCAGACCAGCGATTCAGCTGCATATTCCTCCTTAGTCCCTCTGAGCTTTTGTGTCCACGTCTGTAAAATGGGGATGAGGTTTATGCAGCGACCTGACCTCCTGGGGTCACTGTGGGTGCTCAGTATGGTCCCGTGAGGATATTCCTCAGCAAAGTGTCCTGTGCGGACGGTGCTTGTCAGTGGTGCTGTTAATTTGATTCAGTATGATGCTCTAGTACCTTAGTGTTTGCAGAGCACCTCTTGCGTGCTCTGTCTTGTCTAATGCTGGTGGCACAGCTGGGAGATGGGTGAGTGTTGTCCACTGCACGGATTCTGACAGGCGTCGCTTGTTCCCTTGGCCCAGAGTGCCAAGCCCCTACGCTCGATAAGTCACTGTGCTGATATGAAGAGGGGAGGCCTTTTCCAAACCCTTACTGGGAAGAGACTAAAAAGTTAAGGCCCGAGTGTTTGCTTAAGTGGTATTACTGAGAGCTGACATTTCTCAGTGTCCACAACATGCCAGGCCCAGTGCTGAGCTCTGCGAAGATTCTCACTTAACACTAAGAACAAACCTCTAAGATGAGATACTAAGGTTTGGAGGGTCACTTGCTCAGGCTCCTAAAAAGACTCGTGTAGACCTGGAATGCTGATCCAGGTGGTCTAACAACCAGGGAGCTGGGTTGCTGCCTTTTCCAGGCAGAAAGGCGAATTCATTTTTGACAGTAAAGCAAAAAAGTGCCTTTAAAAATGCCTGAGAAGTGTGGGAGGCTGCCCACGGCTGGAGCATAGATGTGCCGAGGAGGGCAGCCTTCTGAGCGCGTTGCTAGTCAGGGGACTTCCCTGAGTGAGCCTCTTCTGCTGGGAACTGGGACAGGGCACGGGGGTGAGACTGGCGCCTGGTGGGAGGAGACAGGCCCTCCCCAGCTTGCAGAGCTGCTGTGGGTCTGTCCATGATACCGACACGTCCAAGCGAGGCATGTGACAACCAGGGGGCCTCAGAGAAGCTAACTGTGACCACATTTTTCCTGGAGGAGGGTGAAGGAATCGGTGGGGTAGGCAGGGCACCTGGCTTCTGCTCTCGGCAGCGTGAGGGCCTTTCTCTAGCTGTTCCTACACTTTAGGGCAAATTTCCCTTCAGAACTTGTCAGTCTTACTGATGCTGAGGCCATGTTCACTGAGCTCCATCTTCTTGATGATCTGGTGGCTAAGATGCTGGGGATTTTGAGGGGGTGCAGGAGGGAGGTCTGGAACAGGGGAGAATCACCCCATTGTAAATGTAACCGTTTGGCTTTTTTTTTTTTTTTTTAAAGATTTTATTTATCCATTTGAGAGAGAGCACATGCATGCGTGCACGAGCCAGGGGCTGGGAGGGGCAGAGGCAGAGGGAGAAGCAGACTCCCCATTGAGCAGGGAACCCCTGGGATCATGACCTGAGCCGAAGGCAGACACTTAATCAACTGAGCCACCCAGGCACCCCAGTAGTGTGGTTTTTGGTCATGCTATGCCGCCCCTTGAAGGAGAAAAGTTGGTGTCTGCACCCACCTGGCTGAGCATTCGGCTCTGCTCTAGGTGTCTTAGGAGGTCCTTCCAGAGCTGGTAAGACAAGCAGCGGCCTCCTTGCCGCATTCTCCCCCCACCCCCCTCACCCCCCATTTTGGCCACCTCATGTAGCCATCTTGATGATCAGTTAGGATAAGAACCCTGGCGAAGCGACATTTTTTGTTCCCTGAGTAATACATGATGTCTACTGGTCACATGTTACCAGATGACAGTGTGCAGCTCAGATAAATCTTACAACCTAGTGAATGTGACACCGCTTCCATGGCTCATAGTATCCCCACCGTCTGTGGAATGGGTTGGACATCCAGGGACAGGACATTCTCAGAGTGACGTTACTAGGTATGTCTCTCCTTTCCCTCTACCTAGAGTTCCTGGACTCAGGTGTACGAAAAAGCTTTAGTGCAGATGGAAAACGAGATCGATGGGCAGGGGTTTGGGAGGCAGGAAGACCTGGCTCTCTTTCTGGCCTGGCCTCTCCTGTGACTTCTGAAATACAGAGCCATCAAAACTGGTCTCGTAGGAATAAATGGCTTAACGTAGGGCTTGGCACATAATAGTTGCTCAGTAAATGTCTGCTCTTCTGAAGCTTCTCCTTTAGCGTCTAGTAAGTGTGCACTTTGTATTTTTCAAATGAATGGAGCCTCTCAACAAATCTGTTTAGTGTTAGCATTGATACTAATACTTCTCTGTCCTTTTCTTGCCTATTTACAGAATCCTGTCATACCTCGGATTTTGGTGCTGTAAGTCTGAAAAACAGACATAATCCATTTGGTACTGTAGAGGGACTGTCCTTCCCTGAACTAAAGCTGGGCCATTTGGGGATTTGGAGAATAAAGGTAAGAGATTTCTCCTCTTGAGCTTTATGAAACAAAAAATTGCCTTTGGAATCGGTGATCTCCTGCACCGCAAGTTGGGTTGTGGTTCTTGACTTCTTGGCCCGGCTTCCTGTGCTGGTTTGAGAAGCTGGCTTCCCGTAACCTCACCCTGACACCTGGGACCTGGTTCTCAGCATTCGGTGGCCTCACTGTTGTGCTTTGGGAGGTCTCCCTCTGTGCCTAGCCGAGGATGGAGCCCACCACCTCCTAGGTGGATACCCCATGCCTTTCCTCCTGGCAGAGGGTGGCGGATACTCCAGCTGTCCTGTTGAGTCATGTGGGGACTGCACTGGGGGAGGATGAGAAGGTGCATTGGGAGCAAAACACCTCTTGGGGCATATAGAACGGAATCCCTGTCTCTCTCCCGTCCCCTTGCATTGCACGCTCAGTCCCACAAGTCAGAAGCTGTCTGGGGTAAAGGAAGAGGTGAAAACCCGGGGTTTCGGGCAGACCTGGGTTTTCCTGGCTTTGCCACCTGCCTCACCCTGGGCGGATCACTCAGCTGTTCCAAGCCTCGGTTTCCTGATCTGTAAGATAGGGATCATATTAGCTCTTGCCTCGAGAGGATGTCATGAGTATTGAATAAGATAGTGGAGATGGTTTATCATGCCGCCTGGCATGGAGGAGGAAATGCTCCAAAACAGGAGGGTATTTTTTTTTTTAAGATTTATTTATTTGAGAGAGAGAGAGCGCGCACAAGCGGGAGGGGTGGAGGCAGAGAGAGAGAGAGAATCTCAAGCAGATTCTATGCTGAGCGCAGAGCCCAATGTGGGGCTCGATCTCACGACCCTGAGATCACGACCTGAGCTGAAACCAACAGTCCCAGCACTTAACCAACTGCACCGCCCAGGGACCCCAGGGTTTTTTTTTTTTTTTTAACTCATTAACTACACCATGTACAGTTCCTTCCACACAGCAGGCTCTTTCCAAGTCCTTGGTCTGCTCTTCTCTCTGTGTTTCAGCTCCCGCCAGGTCTGTCTGGGAAATGGCTTGTGCATGGTGCACAGACCTCCCTTCCCTGAGCAGAGTGCCTGACTTCCTCCCGCAGGCTGCAGCCAGCGATCTAGGGCATGCCTCCCTCAGACCCTGTTATGTCTCTCCCCCACCCACGCCCATGCCCCCAGTTGCTCGTGACCTTGTTTAGAGCAAAGGACTGTCTTCTACATCCTGACCCCCCACCCGACACCCACCTGACACTACTGTGGATATTGCAAAAGCAGAGGAATGAATAATTAAAAAGGAGGAAGCAGAAAATAAGAGAGAGAGAGAGAACCAATAAGAAGAAAGTTCTTAAAGACTTAGAGCAAAGAATGAGGTCAGTTGCAATTTTTTTCCTTAAAAAAAACAAGGTGTTGAAAAGAATAAATCACAATGGAACAAGGAAACGTGGTTCAAGTGGGGACCGGTGAGAAGACAGGTGTGGAAGTCGGAGTGAGAGGGTAGCAGAGGATGGTGTTCACATGCCCCTGTGTCTTTTCTCTTGTGCCTTAAATGTGTCCGAGTGCATTTGTATCTCTCGTCTCCTGTGTCCCCCGCGGTCCCGTGACCGACGTGGTGGTGAGCCTGAGGCCCCGCCCTTCACTCAAGGCGGGGGAGACTGACACACACATGGGGTTCTCCAGACTCCCCACAGGCAGGGGAGGGCCGCGGGGGCTTTCTAGAGGGGGTGCTGAGCTTGAGGCTCTTGGAAGTGGCACGAAAGCGAGACCTAGTAGGAGCCGAGCTGATTTGCAGTTGGGGAGCCTGTGCACCCTGTGCTCAGCACCCCGGTGCATTGTGTCAGGAGCTGATTTCCCGCTGTTCGGGGTCAGAACTCGTCTACACTGAGTGCCACTGCCAGGCCGCCTGTTCGGCCCTCAAGCGCTCAGCCGGTCCCTTGCATTTTGTTTCCGGAGCCCACGCTCCTGATCCAGGTAGCCGACTTCGGAAGCAGGAGTACCGTGAATGTACCCCAGCCTCTTGTGTGATCGCCCTGGCGTTAGGGTCGGACCACGCCGCTCCCATCGGGGGTGTGGGCAAGGGCAGATGGGAGTTCGGTCACTGGGACGGACGAGCTGCAGGCTGGGAGAACCGTCTCTTGTTGCCGCGGCTGGGAGCGTGAGTGGTGTCGCCTGCATTCTGTGAATGGAAGAGAGGCCTGACCGATCTGTCTAGGGGTGATTGGAAAGGAGTTTCCCCAGAGTTCAGCTGCTGGGAGTAGGCAGATGGAGCAGGGCTGGATGCTGGCATTCGGAGGCGCTCCATCCTGAACACATCCCGGCAGGGCTGGTCTGTGCTGGGGGCTCCGAGAAAGGCGTCCGCGCTGTGCTCGTGTGTGTGGTTCTACCCATCCTGAGGACACCGTCATTCCACTAGGGGCCTGTCTGCCTGCGCCCCTGCTGTCTGTGAGCCTGGGCCCTGGAACAGAGGTACCAGTACCCCTGCATTTCCCACCCCCCCCGCCCACGCCCCCTCCCAGGCCCCCAGGGACCCTGGGCAGGTCCTTCACCACTCTCCAGGCTTCTCACTTCTCAGCTGCAAAATGGACCAGTCCCCCCTTGGGCCGGTCTTGAGGAGCCCAAAGCTGGCCTGAAAAAAGGCTCAGCCAAAAGGGAGCCCTTGTTGCTGGCTTCTCCTCCACCTCCTTGCCTGTCTAGCTTCTGACGGGTGATTGTCCCATCCCCATCCCTCCTTGGACATGCAGACAGGCTTGCCTTCTTCCCTCTGACCCTCACCTTGCTCTTTTGGACTCCCCTCCTGGTACCATCTCCCCCTGGGAGCATCTCTCGGCTCCTGCCCAATGTTCTCAGGCTGCCTTCCGGCCCTGACCTTTGGGGGAGAGGGCACCCACGGGCTCCTGCCTGCCTGCCTGTCTGTGGACAGGAGCCAGCCCTGGTCTTTGGGCACAGCTATTTATTTCTCTGTCTACAGCACTGAAAGAGCTCCCGGCCCGCTCGGGACTCTAGGCTTGAAACAGAACACGTATTTTCACCCAAACACGTCTGCTATTAGCCCATTTTACTATTTACTCTATTTCTTGTGGTTTCATGCTGAGGTTTTTGGCTCATTGCATTTGACCTGGAGTTTATTTTTAGTAGTGGAGACAGAGTTCAATTAATGTCAGAGCGTGAGGGCAAATGTAGAAGAGGGATTCGCAAGTCTGGAGGGAAATGCGCCTAATTTTGTTGTTTCTGATCCTGCCTGCTGTGCCGGCAGACATCGGGCTTTCTCAGCTGTGCCACCATGGGCTTAGGCAGAGGCAGGGCATGGTGTTCTTGCCACCCCCTGGAAAACAGAAGTGCTTCTGGGACTCTTTCGGGGATGATAACCACTGCGGTTATCATGTGTGATCATTATTACAGTTATTATTAAAGGCCAGACTTTGTCACTTGGGCTCTTGTTATGTCCCCAGTGGGCTTCATTGTCTCCAGAAGCAGCCTCTGATTTTCTGGAATATCAGCTCTTTCCCCTGCACTGTAAATATTTTGAGAGAAGGCTGTGCGTCTTGCTCCCTCTCTGGTCCCGGCTGTTGGCATCATGACAGGCACGTAGGACATGCTTGGGGAATGTTTTCTTGGACCGACTGAATTTGAGGACACTGAGTTTGGGCTAGAAAGTTGGAAACAAGGCAGAAAGTACTCCTCTCTCAAGGGCTCCGCAGTCGGCTTTGGGAAACAACTTAAGCACTGCGTCTGCTTAAGGGCTTTCAGTTTATAAAGGTCTCCCTCATCCTTTTTCCTGTCTCTTCACCCCCGAGTCTGGACTGAGAAACTACAGCATCTCGCTCTGCAGGCGTCTGCAGTAAAGGAGGGAAAAGCCACCATTCTTGCTCTGAAGGCCATCTGGAAATGGAGACTGGCTTTGTGGATCCCTGATGTCGTGGACTGCATGTTTGTGCCACCCAAAATTCATATGTTGAAACCCTAACCCGGAATGCAGTGGTCTTAGAAGGCGGGGCCTCTGGGGGGTGATGAGGTCATGAGGGCGGAGCCCTCAGCGATGGGATTAAGGGTCTTAGAAAAGGGACACCAGAAGAGAGTCACTTCTCTCTGCTCTCTGCAGTGTGAGGACGAAACCAGAAGACTGTCTTTTGCAAACCAGGACCTGAAATCTGCCAGCACCTAGGTCTTGGGCGTTCAGCCTCCAGGAACCTTGAGAGATGTTATTTAAGGAACCCCGTTGGTGGCGTCTTGCAATGGCAGGCTGAGCAGACTGGGACACCATATCTCACTGATGAATGACCTGGAGACTCAGAGAGATGGTGCTGGTGAGGCCTCCCTGCTGGCTGGTGGTGCATCTCAAGTTTGCATCTTCAGAGTCCGGGCACTCAGGCCTGCCCCACCTGATCTGCAGGCTCTCTGGACTGTCTCTTTGTGGCCCCTCACTGCTCCATCTGTCTGTCTGTCTGCCTCTCCTGTGATTTTTCTCTGCCATCTTCCTTTCTCTGTCTCCCAGATTTTTCTTCTGAAGATGAGGATCTTTCTCTCAAGAGTGCCTCTTGGGGGAAGGGAGGAGAGGCTAATGGGGCTGCACTGGGGTCCACCTCCGCAGCACCTGGTGTGGTGGCCAGCATGATACGGCAGATTCCTCCCTCCCTCCCACCCTCTTCCACATCCTTGCCGTGAGCCAGGTAGCACCCCAGCTCTGAGAGACAACAGTAGGTAAACACGCTGGGGGAGACAGTGTATTCAAATAACTGTGTTTGCATGGTGTTACGGCCTAAATGTCTGTGTGCCCCCCGTCTCCCCCAGATTCACATGCTGAAGCTGTCTGCACCCCCCCCCCCAGTGTACTTGTGTTTGAGTGAAGGAAGTACGTCAGCTTAAATGAGGTCAGAAGGGTGGGACTCTGATCCGATCAGATTAGCGTCCTTATAAGAAGAGACACAGAGAGCTGGGAGAGCTTGCTCTTCTCTATGCCATGTGAGGATGCAGCAAGAAGGTGGTTGTCTGCACGCCAGAAAGAGATCTCTCATCAGGAACCGAATGGGCTAGAACCTGGATCTCAGACTTCTTGCCTCCAGAGCTGCGAGAAAATCAATGTCTGTCATGCAAGCCTTGTGTGCCCTCTGGAGTTTTGTTACGCAGCCTGAGCTGACTCGGATGCGTGGTGGACGCACAGCTCGGGCCACGGGCCATGGAGAGGTTGATTGCCATGGCCCCGAGGCTCCTCTATGAGAGCTGGGTCCTGGCTGACACCTTTGAACCTTCACAATCCCATCTTGAAAATGAGGTGCCCACAAGAGGGACTGTAAGAGCTACTTTTGTCTGTCCTGTCTGTATCCTGATGCAGAGCTTCCCCAAGCTGGGCCCTGCTCATAGTCATCACTCATCCTTCCTTCCTTGCTCACACAGAATCCGGTATTTCATGAATACTACTGTGCTCATGGCATCAGGCTCCTGGAAACAGAGGCAGCTCGATCAGCGCTGTGAGGCCCCACGAATGAGATGCTGTCCTTATGGGAGTAGAAGTGGTGTTGGGGCACAGTACTTGTGTCATGGTAAAAATACAAATACTACGAATGATAATTGTAGCTCAGTACTTTCCATACATATGTATCTTCTTTTAAAGATTCTATTTATTTTATTTTATTTTATTTTTTTAAAGATTTTATTTATTTGACAGAGAGAGACACAGTGAGAGAGGGAACACAAGCAGGGCGGGTGGGAGAGGGAGAAGCAGGCTTCCCGCGGAGCAGGGAGCCCGATGCGG